TATTAATATATGTTTTGAACTATATTATAAAACCACATCCTAATCGCTAGTCTTAAAACTTCCCCTTTAAGTCAGTTTATAAGATTTTTTTTTCAAAGAAAAACAAAGAAATAATTCACTGACAAAATTTCTACTCTTAATGATTTCATTCAAAATAGAAAGATAGTGGGCAAAGACATGAACAGATAGCTCACCAAAGAGGATATTCAAATGGACAACCAACACATGAAAAGATACTCATTATTATTAACCATTTTGATGCAAAACAATACCACACCCCACTGAATAGTTTTCATCTTGTCTAGATGGATCTGGTAAAAGGAGATGGGGATAGGATTCTTTTGATTCAATACTGAGTAACTGTTATCATGATTAATTGTAATAATCACAACTGTAAAGATAGAAGTTTTGTAATATAAAGGGGAGAGTAATTAATCTTATATTCCAGGAACAGAGGATCCTAGGACTATCACGAGAGAAGAGCATGAGCGGATCATGAGACCCTGTCCAGAGAAGCAGTAACACCAGAGATGGAGGCAGAGGTGATGGCATGGAGAGAGACAGCAGCTGATGACTCTAGATTCATAGAAAGAGAAAGCTGTGTGCAGGAGGCCAGGAGGCTAGCTTGAAGAATGTGGTTGTTTGGGTATTTAAAGGATTACATATGCCTGAGTGTTTTTGTGTACATCAAAAAAACAAAGGGAGTAGAAGCAAATACTGTTAAATGCTGATGCATGGAAGGAATCGTAATCCTTGCAATGAAACAAAACATGATAGGATGAGTGCAAAACCAATGTTATCCCATGTAAACTATCGCTCAATTCACAATAAAAACTTTAAAAAAAAAAAAGAGTGATTTGTACACCAATGTTCCTTGCAGTAATATCCACAGTAGACAGAAAGTTATAACAATCTAAATGCTCAACATATGAATGAATAAATAAAACATCACACATTAATACAATGGAATATTACTTAGTAAGAGAAATGAAGTCTTGATACACACTTCAGTATGAAGACATTACGCTGAGGGAAATAAACCCAGCACAAAAGAACAAACATTGTATGATTTCATTTGTATAAAAAGACAACTGTATATAGACTGAAAAAAAAACCACACAAAAAATACTGCAATAAGACAGTACCTCATCCCTATATTAGAATGTCAATGATTTAATTTTTTTAAAAAAATAAGACAACAGAAAATAGCAAATATTGATGAGGATGTGGGGATATTGGAAAACTTGACCACTACCAAGGGTAATGTAAAATGGTGCATCCTTTTAAAAAACAATATGGCAATTCCTCAAAAACAAATTATTTATGTATATAATTTTTGAGGCTTTAAGTTTTATAACACATCCTGTGTGTCAACTAGCAATCTAACCTATCAAGTACTTAACATTCTCTCTCCAATAAGTTAAAGACTTTCTAATCAAAGAGATTTAAAGATTTTAAGTCATTTTACTAGAGGCTGTTTCTATCAGCCTTTATTTGCTTGACTATTTTTCACCCTTCTTGATACTTTCTCCATACTATTTTCTCATGGATCTCGTCTGACTTCTGTCCTCTTCACTTGTATGTTTCTGTGGCCTCCAATCAAATGTTAGTGTTTCCCAATGTCCTGTTCTCAGCCTTTTTGTTTCATCATTTAATGTAAATTCACTTATGGCTATATCTATATAATATTTATGATATATATACGTACACATATATATTATTTATATATATATATAGTTAGAGTCCTGGTGTGGCACTGTGGGTTAATGTGCTGGACTGCAAAGTTGGTTTGAACTACAAGGTCAGTGGTTCAAGCTCACCAGCTGTTCTTCAGAAACTGTATACAGGGTCGATATGGGTCAGAACTGACTTGATGGCACTTAAAAACAATTGTTGCTATTGTTGTTGCTGTTAAGTGCCATCAAGTTGGTTCCAACCCATAGCAACCCTGTACAGAAGCGTCTTCAAATCAGTTCTGACTCATTGTGTCCCTTATAGGATTCCCGAGGCTGTGCATCTTTACAGAAACAGAAAGCCTCATCTTTCTCCTACAGAGCAACTGGTAGGCTCAAACAGCTAATCTTGTGGTTCACAGTCCAGTGCTTATTGCACACACCTACTGCTCTCTATCTATAAATGTATACATATATATATATATCATATATATATGTAATACACATGCATACATTGTTTATGCATATATGAGGGGACTTTAAAAATTCATGGAAAAATGGAATTAAAAGACAATGGAATTTTTTCCAAGAACTTTTTGAGGCCCTCTCATATCTACACAAATATACACATACACTTAATATACTGAAGAATTCCAAATCTCTCCACCAGGCACCAGATCTATATTTACACTTGACTACTAGAAATTTTTATGTGTTGCAAGCATTTTTAAAACAGAATTCTGAATCTATCTTTTAGTATTTCCCACCATACAGTGCTTATAGAACTGGACTACTACTTGAGTGAATTTATTAAAATATTAATCTGATCAGGTTACATTTTCTGCTTAAAATCTCAGTGTCTCTTAACCGAGAGTGTTTTCCAGATTAAGCCATGATTTGACTCCCATCTATCATTCTAGTTTTACTCTTAATCACCCTAATCTCCCCTTCTTCTATCCAATCTATTACCAAGTCAAACCTCTGAGGGTTCTTAAATAAATTATTCTCTTTGCCTCATTTATATTTATATTATTTTGTTATTATTGTTGAGAATATACAACAAAACATACACCAATTCAACAATTTCTATACATACAATTCAATGACACTGACTACATTCTTCAAGTTGTGCAATCGTTCTCACCCTCCTCAGGTACCTAAATTCTCTGGGCCCTGAAGTTGCTAACTAATCTTTCAAGTTGCTGTTGTCAATTTGATACCATATCGTTTTTAAAAGAGCATAATGCTCAATATTGACCTTTTATTTTGCTACTTAAACTTAGTTATTGCTTAGTTTTATGATGATTTCAGACATATTTTTGGTTTAAGCTTTAAAGATGATCTCAAAGCAAGTTTCTGGGTTCATCTACCCTTCATGGCTCCAGAAAGTCCAGAGTCCATGAGAACTTTAAATTCTGATCTGCATTTCTCTCCTTTTGATCAAGGGCCCTCTATGGAATCTTTGATCCAAATGTTCAATAATGGTAATAGGCATTATCCAGTTTTTTTCTGGTCTCATGACTAAGGAGAAGTTGCTAATTGTTGTTGATGTTGTTGTTAAGTGCCGTGGAGTCGGTTCCAACTCATAGCAACCCTACACAGGGTTTCCGAGGCTGTAGATCTTTACGGGAGCAGATCGCCTCATCTTTCTCCCACAAACCGCTGGTAGTATTCGAACTGCTGACCTTGCGGTTCACAGCCCGATTCATAACCACTACGCTACCAGAGCTCCTTGGAGGGAATTATCTGCACATTCCATATTCTCCTCCTATTCTTGACTCTCCTTCTTCATATGTTGCTCCAGATGAATAGAGACCAATCCTTGCGCCTTGAATGGCGACTTACAAACCTTTAAGGCCCCAAACATTATGCAATAATCTAGGACGCAGAACAGAAGCACTAACCATGCTATTAGAGACCAATTAACTGTGATGTGCCATGAAACCAATACCCTAACCTCCAAACCAAGGAACCAAATCCAAGGTGTTTGGTTATACATAAGTAGCCTTAGCAGCTACTGTTTTGCTGTTATTATTTTGGCACATAACTTTTGCCAAATGAACCTTTTATAGGTGTATAACTTACTGACACAAATTACAATAATTGGCTATGCAACCCTATCCTTATGCTATTTTAATATCTCCTTCATTCTGTCTAGAATGTCTTCCCCATTCTTGTCCCCAATTTGTCTGTCAAACTCAGCTCATGAGTCACTTCCTCTGTGAATACTTCCCTAATCTCTTCAGGGCTGCTTCCCCTTGCACTCCCTCATAGAGACTTGCACATGTCTTCGTATTAAATTTATCTTGTTTGTAATTAAATATTTCATTTACAAAATTATATAATCTATTTCACCTTTCTGTCTCGATGATTTAAATCCTATATTGAATACATAGTAGATACTTACCAGTCTCTATTAACTGCTTTAATCTTTCATATAAATAACTGAAAGATGCAAATTCACAAATGAAAATGAATTTTGCTGTTTATTATAGCTAAGCTGTCTAAATACAAGCATACTTTAGGACAGGTCTTTAAATAATTATAGATATTGGTTTTCAATCTAAATCTTTCTGCACATAACAGAAAATATGGAGTAATTAAATTACATTCTCTGGGCCTATATTACATTTAGCTCATGCAGGAACAAACTGATTAGCAATAACTATGCAAATGAAAAATACTAATAATAGCTGAGAAACAGAATAAATTTAGTTAGAAAATAGTTTTCATGCTAGCAATGTAGCCTATGAGAGAATGTCTTATCAGCCTAAAAGAGGTGATTACATATTCAAGAAGAAACTGCCTTCTACAAAAGCACACTTTAATCTTTACTTCCATAAATTCTTTTTAAAATAATCAACCAACTTTTCAGCAACTCTTTTTGTGTCCAAGTCATTCTGTTAGTAGCACCAAACAGCAGATCTCAAGTAAACAGAGCAGCACTAACACAGACTCACTCAGGCGGGAAATGTCCTGAAACACTTACCAGTTTAATAAACTGTACAGAGCAATGACAGCATCAAAAGGGAGGAAAAGCAAACTAGAAGTATAAGGTGAAAAGTGAAAGGGGAAAAAAGCTGACAAAAAAAAAAATCATCATTAGAAATAAAAATTTAAAAACTGAAAGAAACTAAAAGGCAAAATCAAAAAACAGGTAAAAGCATGTATCATGATAAAAAGTTTACCTCTTTATGGAAAAGTTTGGATAGAATATATAATAATTAACATATACTTTAAAATTACATGAAAACCAACTAAATAAAAATGTGATCAACAATCAATTTATACAACTATGCTACAGAATATATAAAATAAATGAGTTACCTTGATTTCTCTTTGTTCAACAGATTTTTCCCATATTTGTTGATCATATGCTCCAATCTATGGAAAACATAGACAGCACTAGATTAAATGATCATTGTTGGGACTCACCAAACTTGAAGCAATGTGACATTCATTCAGCATAGATTATATGCAGCTATCACACTTCTGTGGTAGATGTCATATGGTAGTGGTTCTCTAAGTATGGTTTCAGGATCAACAAAATTAGTATCATCTTGGGATGTGTTAGAAATGCAAATTATCATGACTATTCTCATAGCTAAGAAGCTCTGATAGCATAGTGGTTATGAGTCGGACTGCTAACCTCAAAGGCAGCAGTTTGAAACTGCCAGTGGTTCAGCGGGAGAAAGATGAGGCTTTTTGCTCCCATAAAAATATAAAGCCTCGGAAACCCTATGCAGCATTGCTATGAATCAGAACCGACTCCACAGCACACCACCATTACCACCACTCTCATAGCTAAGGAGCTCTGGTAGTGTAGTGGTTATGAGTCAGGCTGCTAACCTCAAGGTCAGAAGTTCAAAACTGCCAACCATTTCATGGGAGAATGATAAGGCTTTCTGCTCCTGTAAAGAATTACAGCCTCAGAAGCCCTATACAGGATTTCTATGAGTTGAAACTGATTCCAAGGCACATAACCACCACCACCACACCACTCTCATAGCTAGTGAAGTAGAAATCTGGGAATTAAACTCAACAGTCTGCATTTTTTTAAATCCTCTATAATAAGTTGTTGGGTCTGGGGCTCAAGATCACAGTCTTGGGTATACCCTGGTCAACTGGCATACCATTGTCTACAAAAACGTTCTACATCCTACTTTGGTGAGTAGCAACTGGGATCTTAAAAGCTCATGGGGGCCCTCTAAGGTGCAACTATTGGTTTCTCCCAATGTGGAGGAAAGAAGAGTTAAGAAAACTGAAAATGCATAGAAACAAGTACTCCCACGGGCTAATAGAACATGTGAGCATCAGTCTCCACAACTCTAAGGCCAGAAGAAGTAGATGATGCCCAACTGCTCTGAAAAGGATCACATTAGAAGGTCCTAGATATAGTGGGAGAAAAATGTGGAACACAACTCAGAATCATAAAAAAAAGACCAGGCTTCCTGGCAGGTAAGAGACTAGTTAAACCCTGAGACTATTGCCCTTGGTCACTCTTCAGGCCTACAACTGGCTCAATATTCAGTCAAGCAATAGAAAAGTGTACAGGAGTAACTACAACACTAGTGAGGACTGCACTACATTGAATGGCTGATCATTTGATATCAAATGGGCAGCATTTACCCATGGACAAAGTTCAGAAAGGTTGGGAAAAGACGAGGAATAGAAACAAGGAACACAGGAAGAAATGGAATAAGTGATATTACACTGATTGCAATAATTGATATGAACAAAGTGCATGATATGCTGAAATTTAAACAGATGATCTGCTCAATAAACCACCACTCAATTCACAATACAAAGTTTAAAGTATCCATCTAGGTAATTAATTTGGATGCATTATTAAAGCTTGAAAACCACTGCCTTAAGAGAATGCTTTGTTTTAAATAACACAAATACTATACAGCCTTGGGGCATTCAAGAAAAAGCTCCCAAGTGATAAATTCTTTATGGAGTTATTTTTAAAGAAATAAAAACACTGATTATCTACAGCAATTAAAAATTCATAAACACACAGACTACTTAACATAAATAAATGGAAAATAAAGTGATTAAAAAACAACTGCAGACACTGGTAAAGCCACAAGAAGTAGAATTTCTATAGCTTCTATGTCTACTCCTCTTAGATGCTGGAAAGTTCTCTAAACTATAACTTTACTTGGGGAAGTTGAATAATACATTCTTTATGTTCATTCCCTAGCTTTTTGCTATTATTGTTGTTGACTGTTGTTGTTAAGTGCCGTTGAGTCGGTTCTGAATCACAACGATCCTGTATAGGGTTTCTGAGGGCCAACCCTTGAGGTTCAAACTGAGCTTGCAGTCTACGTTAACCTGCAGAGCCACATTTGTTGTTGTTGTTGTTGTTATATGCCGTGAAGTCGGTTCTGACTCATAGTGACCCTGCATAGGGTTTCCGAGGCTGTAATCTTTACAGTAGCAGAAAGCCTTTCTCCCGCGGAACAGCTGGTAGTTTCGAACTGCTGACCTTGTGGCTTGCAGCCCGATTCGTAACCACTATTATGCCAGAGCCACATTTGTTGTTGTTGTTAAGTGCCATCGAGTCAGATTCAACCCATAGCAACCCTATACAGGGCTTCCAAGGAGCAACTGGTAAGCTTGAACCGCCGACCTTGCAGTTCAAACGGCTTTGCAGTCTGGCGCATTAACCCACAGCGCCACACTCATAGCGACCCTATACACAACAGAAACACTGCTCAGTCATGCCTTCCTAACAATTGTTACTGTTTGAGCCTATCCATCTCATTGGGGGGGGGAGCGGGGGGGGAGGTCTTCCTCTTTTTCACTGATGCTCCACTTTACCTGATGATATCCTTCTCCAGTGCCTGATTCTCTCCTGAAAACATGTCAAAACAATGGGAAACAATGTCTCCATCCCTGCTTCTAAGGAACAGTCCATGATACTTTCAGTATTCTTATCCAATACCATAATTCAAATGCATCAATTCTTCTCTGGTCTTTCTTATTTATTGTCCAACTTTCACATCCACATGAGCTGATTGAAAATACAATGGTTTGGGTCAGGCCCACCTTTGTCTTCAAAAAGAATTTTTTTTAACACTTTGAAAGAGGTCTTTAGCAGATTTGGCAACAGAATACAAGATGTTGTTTAATTTCTTGACTGCTACATCCATGAGTGTTGATTGTGGATCCAAGCAAATTGAAGTCTTTGACAACGTCAATCTTTTCTCCATTTATCATGCTGTTATGTTCTGGCCCATTTGTGAGGATTTTTGTTTACTTTACATCAAGGTACATCTATAATACAGGCTGTAGTCTTGATCTTCATCAATAAAAACATCAAGTCCTCTTTGGTTCCAGCAAGCAAGGATGTATCATCATATCACAGATTATTGAGTTTTTCTCCAATCTTGATGCCACATTCTTCTCCATGCATCTGGTTTCTCAGATTATTTCCTCAGCATCAACATTGGATAAGTATGTTAAAACGATACAACCCTGGCACACACCTTTCTGATTTCAAACCATTCAATATCCCTTTGCTGTCTTTGAATGACTTGCCTTTTTCTATTACTTAATACAATAAGCGCTGGAATGCAAACCACAAGGTGAAAGGTTCGAACCTACCAGCTGCTCCTCAGGAGAAAGATGAGGTTTCCAAGATAAAGCCTTAGAAATCCTACATGGGGTCGCAATGAGTTGGAAACAACTCAATGACACTTAAAGACAATATCTCTAGTTTACATTTTACATTTAATTTCCTGTATTTGAAAGGACACTGTAATAGGTAAATGGCCTATAGTTATGATGAGGGATCTTCATTATTTCTTAGTTAAAAATTAAATTTTTTAGGAAATTTTTCTGACACAATATCACTCTACCCAAAAGTCCGCTTACTTACAAATTATATTAAAATCTTGTTTCAAGAAATATAATTAATTGAGAAGGCCTGGCGTTCCACTACTAACGACTAATTTAAAGACAGACATGAAGAAGTGTTGTTAGGTGCTGCTGAGTCAGTTTCAACTCATGGAAACTGTGTAAAAGGTTTCCAAAGAGTTGCTGGTGATTTTGAACCACCGACCTTGTAGTTCAAACCAACCTTGAGGTCAAGGGCTTATCCTATGGTACCACACCAGAAGACAGACTAAAATAATTTATTGAATGACTCCTTAACAGCCTTTCATTTCTATTATTTTTTCTTATATATTACTTTATTCAAATAATTTCCCTGGTCCTGTAAATCCTGTTCTTTTTTTCACCACTTTCCTATTTTTTCAAATAATCTATGATACTCTCTAGAAATTAAAATCTTGTAACATCTAAACCAAGCCCCATAGAAAAAGTAACTTACTTATTTGCAACTAAAACTTGCATCTTCTCTATAAAGTAAAGTTAAGGAGTAGTAGGTAAGCAACAAACAACTGGTTAGTCCTAAGGATAAAGCTGCCTTGCAGTGTCTAGTTGTTCCTTGCTCTCTTAAATTCTTAATTCAACTGAACAATTACCTTCCTTAATATCAGAAGTTAGTATAGAAACTGAGTCCACAAAGTAATTCTACTATAAATTGATAATCCAAAAGTACTGGGCTTAATTCAACTAAATTTTTTTAAAATTTATGTTTAACTACTACAATACATTTTGTATATATTACTTATGTTGATTCTCATTAAAAACCAACACAAATAAGGAATGGAGTCCTGGTGTGGCACTGCGGGATAATGCACTAGATTGCAAGGTCGGTTTGAACCACAAGGTCAGTAGTTCAAGATTACCAGCAGCTCCTCAGAAACCCCATAAAGGATTGCTATGAGTCAGAACTGACTCAACAGCACTTAACAGCAGCAATAGTTTTAATCATTAAATGTCTTATTTATTTCAAGGAGACTCAAGTATGGCCATGGAAATACATGTCCTGCGATCCTAAATTCAGGGATAATAATACTTTGGATCATGCCAAGCTACGGACAACAATGCAAAGAATGAGTATACGGAACACTTAATTGTGCTCATGAGGAACCTGTACATAGACCAAGAGGCAGTTGTTAGAATAGAACAAGGGGGCACCGAATGGTCTAAAATTAGGAAAGGTGTATACCAGGGTTGTATTATTTCACTATACTTATTCAATCTGTATGTTGATCAGTTAATCTGAGAAGCCGGATTATATAAAGAAAAGTATGGCATCAGGATTGGAGTATTACTCATTAGCAACCTGATCTGTGGATGATACAACCTTGAATGCTGAAAGCCAAAAGGATTTAAAATACTTATTGATGAAGATCAAAGGCCACAGCCTTCAGTATGGGTTACACCTCAATGTAAAGAAAACAAAAATCCTCATCACTGGACCAATAAATAACATCATGATAAATGGAGAAAAAATTGAAGTTGTCAAT